TAAGTCATACCTCACACATTCCCCAGCCCTAATCATTCGGTAATTGATGTATTGTGCTATTAGATGTTCTTTACTGTGTATATTTTTTGCATAGTTTAGTATATCTTATTTTCTCACAGAACAATTAATTCCATTCAAGTTTATGATATCCATATTTTCTGTTGCGATTTTCGTTGTAGCTTTATTGTTTTCACCTGCATACTGTACCCTACTAGTAAGTACTTCATTACTATTTCCTCTATGAATGTGCATATACCGTTCTGTCTTTCACAATAACTGTGTTTAGCTGTATTTCCTTATACAATGTCGCTTATTCACACATAGTTTAAGATACATGTCTAGTAACATGAATTCTACTGTGTCATTTCTATGAATCCTGAATCCAACTCACTTTCATGATGTCATTTCGAAGTTCGATATCTTTTCCTCAGTAATGCTGGAATATATTCTTTACTGTTTAGGTATTGGTGAATATGTAACTTGCAACTAACTGATGGTGGTATCTGCTGTTGCAAATACTAGCATTGCACTGCAGACATCATGCTTTATATGGGCTTACATAGTTATTATCACCACAAATCAATTTTAAGCCCGGATCATCGCCGTAAACGAAGGAATCCTACGCCCGCCGCGCCGAGAAATTATGTACACTTACGCTCACACGATTGACGCGCCCAAGACGTGCATGGTTAGACTCAAGTTCAGGCCCAGTTGCCTCTATGCCTCTGAAGCATAAGTCCTTGAATATTTATAGCACAAAGATATGGAGTTCTTGTACAAATGACTTTTCTGTCAACATGATGGTATTCTGCCAAATTTTTTAATCCTGACAAATCCAAAATAATTAACACCTCCTCACTTGAGACATTACCCTACTTGTGACAAACTGTTCTTATTATGCTATCATTTTTCTTGCAACTTAGTAAGGTGATTCACAAACATATCATTATCCTCCTTAGCCCTTTTAGTGTCCTGGTATACTTACATTTCAGTCTCTGAAGATGATGTGACCCTCCTTGCTACTCAATGTCGCACCTCAGTGCAAACCTTCCACCACACCCGCTACTCTGGCATGCAACGACCCTAGTGACAAGTGGATCACCAGGAACCATCTACATGGTGCCGAGCAGAACCTATCCCTAACTGCTTATTGCAGGTAGGGATCTACATTCAATAAGAAACACAAGCCAGGTACCCCTTCATTCACTTGCACTAAGGCCACTCTCCCTCGTTGATATCTGGTGGTAAATGGTGCTCAAGAAATTCTCTCATTGACATCTGGTGACAGTGATGCATTGACTCTCGTTGACATCTGGTGACAGTGGTGCATTGACTCTCATTGACATCTGCTGACAGTGGTGCATTGACTCTCGTTGACATCTAGTGACAACATTTGCTGATTAATTTACCAATTACCATCAAATGTTTCCTACCAAGTTCTAGGTCTACACGATTCAAATGCCAAAATGCACAACAACTTATATTGTTAACGTCTAAGTAGCCTTTCTCAAACAGAAAAAACGACGATTTATCAGTTCCCAGCCTGATATGCCAATGATCTAAATGCCTCATTACCTCATAATTCAGCCCATGGCATTTGAGTCGATTAAGGACCACAAGAGCTTTCTCATCTCAAGCCACTTGCGCCTACCTATCTGGACTTAGAGTTAACTAACATTAATGAGAATTGCTTACATCTACATGTGTCGAATGGCCGAATGCCAGAGGCAAGGCCCAAGGGGAGAACAAAATGGGTATATTTCTATTCATACAAGTACCTGAGGATGAGCTCCATAAGCATTACTCTATCAAAACATTACCTAGAATAGACGTAATAATGCTAACCTGTTGAGATGGTAATCCTCGGTTAATCCTTTGACCGAGGGATGCTGTGTAATGCTGAGAGCATTCGAGACAAGAGAGGACTAAATACGTAATTGATGAAATAGCTGTATGGGCTGAATAATGGGCTCAAGTAGTTTCTTATAAGGGAAATGTCCTAGTTAAATTGTGAACTATAAACCTAGATTTCCAATGTTCTAATAGTTCCGAAATTAACTTTATTACAATTTTAACATTTTCATGGACTCAATTTTTCTGTGAAAAGGGAGATTTTTTTTTTGCTAAATGGAATTCGAAGGTGAGGGCTCTTTTGAGCGGGGAACTTACTCAAAGGTGTAGGCTTAAATTGCAAGGACTTACGGTAATATCTATATATTGGAAAGAAATATATTAGTTTCGAAATTTTGTTAAGGGTACAGAAGGTAACCATAAAGATTATTAATGTTTGCAGGCCGAATGTATATATATGAGGGAAGTGTGGTATAAACTTTTTAAAGTTTCACTCGTGTGTGTGTGTGTGTGTGTGTGTGAGATAGAGAGAGAGAGAGAGAGAAAGTATGTAGATATCAGTATACAAATAGATCAAGGGAGACACAGATACAGATAGACACTAAACTGCAATACAGTAAACAATCAAGTCTTAAACCACACCCCGAAGCAACCCTTGCATGAGTACATAAGATCTAAGCCGCCCCCATCCCCCCGAGCACCGCCAAGGTAACTCGCTGGCGTCTTGCAAGGCTGTCCCGGCCGCGGCTTCACGGAGGGAGAAGCCTCGAGATGTGTCCGGGAAATGCTTAGTTTCGGCGGACGGGGGAGCGATGAGGGGAGGCAAGTGAGGCTTCTTTTTGTGTGGGAGAATTTTCTTGTTATTTACTTTTTCTTATTTTTCTTCGCTTTTTTCACTTTTGATTTCGGTACTTCCTTGAACTTTTGATGATCTTTATTGGGTATATGTATATATTTTTTTCTTTCTTTTTTGTTCAATATGTTACTGTTGTTTTCGTTTTTCCCTGTACTTTTTCTGTAACCGTTCATTTATGTATTTACTATTTTCACTGAAAATGTGTGTGTGTGTGTGTGTGGCGGCTTCACGGAGGGAGAAGCCTCGAGATGTGTCCGGGAAATGCTTAGTTTCGGCGGACGGGGGAGCGATGAGGGGAGGCAAGTGAGGCTTCTTTTTGTGTGGGAGAATTTTCTTGTTATTTACTTTTTCTTATTTTTCTTCGCTTTTTTCACTTTTGATTTCGGTACTTCCTTGAACTTTTGATGATCTTTATTGGGTATATGTATATATTTTTTTCTTTCTTTTTTGTTCAATATGTTACTGTTGTTTTCGTTTTTCCCTGTACTTTTTCTGTAACCGTTCATTTATGTATTTACTATTTTCACTGAAAATGTGTGTGTGTGTGTGAGAGAGAGAGAGAGAAAGTATGTAGATATCAGTATACAAATAGATCAAGAGAGACACAGATACAGATAGACACTAAACTGCAATACAGTAAACAATCAAGTCTTAAACCACACCCCGAAGCAACCCTTGCATGAGTACATAAGATCTAAGCCGCCCCCCTCCCCCCGAGCACCGCCAAGGTAACTCGCTGGCGTCTTGCAAGGCTGTCCCGGCCGCGGCTTCACGGAGGGAGAAGCCTCGAGATGTGTCCGGGAAATGCTTAGTTTCGGCGGACGGGGGAGCGGTGAGGGGAGGCAAGTGAGGCTTCTTTTTGAGAGGGAGAATTTTCTTGTTATTTACTTTTCCTTATTTTTCTTCGCTTTTTTCACTTTTGATTTCGGTACTTCCTTGAGCTTTTGATGATCTTTATTGGGTATATGTATATATTTTTTTCTTTCTTTTTTGTTCAATGTGTTACTGTTTTCGTTTTTCCCTGTACTTTTTCTGTAACCGTTCATTTATCTATTTACTATTTTCACTGAAAATGTGTGTGTGTGTGTGGTGTGTGTGTGTGTTTGCCTGTGTGTATGTCATAATTTCTGCATCATAAATCAGTGATTTAGCTAAAATTTGTGTATTGTTTAAAGTTTTAGGAGAGCGTTTAACAGAGGGATTAAAGTTTGTTTGGGAACTTGGAGATGGTTTTAAGAAAGATATAAGTAGATTTTCGTTACTTACATTGAAAAAGTTTTTGGGAAAGTTTATAATTAAGATTTTCTTATTATAATCATTTACAAGGAAATGGAGTTATTTTGGTTTGAGAATGATAACTATTTTAACCTTTATCATTGTTGCGATAACCATTATTATTGTTGTCATTATCATCATTACTATGATTAATGCCATTGTTATTGCTCTGAATGCATTGTTTTATAATGAGAATTGTAAACGGGATAATAATGGAGAATAACGGGAGAAGTATTATGATAATGAAAGTTATTATTATAACAATAATAGTAAAACTTATGGTAAAAAAAATAAAAAGAGCAGTTTACTGATGAAGATGAGATAAACAAAGAAAAAACAGTACTGATCAAAGAAATGAATATGATGATAATATTAACAGTGAAGATAACAACAACAATAATGGTAATGATAATAATAATGATTATAATAATGATAATAATAATAATAATAATAATGATAATGATAATAATAATAATAATAATAACAATGGTGATGATGTTGACGAGGGTAATTAAAATGATAATAAAAACAATGATAAGACTAATACAGGCTTACAAAAAATACACATAACACAAAAGCTTGCTTACACTTAATACATTTACCATTTTCCAGTTAAAATATACTGATCAGCATACCTAGCTGGAATTTTATTTCTGATGGCTCTTTGTGGAAGCTCTTTCTTCATAGGCTTCTGAAAAGGGTCTACCTTATCTTCCTTATTTCCCTTCCCTGTTTTAGACAGATCCTGGGCTGGCGATTTCGTGGTATGATTACAAATGTGATGCTTCAGTCAATCGATATGCCTTTTCATTTCTTTACCACCGTCATCTTCACCGTCATCTTCACCGTCATCTTCACCGTCATCTTCACCGTCATCTTCACCGTCATCTTCACCGTCATCTTCACCGTCATCTTCACCGTCATCTTCACCGTCATCTTCACCGTCATCTTCACCGTCATCTTCACCGTCATCTTCACCGTCATCTTCACCGTCATCTTCACCGTCATCTTTCACCATTTAATGCAACTTGCCTAACTTCTCTACAACGTGTCCTTCAACCCACTTTTCTTCTGATGAGGTAAATGATCTTATCAAAACTCCAATATTAAATTCCCTATAGTCCTTTACACTCTCAGAATTAGACTGTTGTTCATCTGCTGGCTTTAGTCTCAGTGTATCTAATCTACATCTCACTCTTCTCCTCATCAATAGAATTGAGGGCGAACAACCTGTAGTCATATGAGGAGTGGTTATATAGGATAGTAAGAACCTATTAATACAAGTAGTGATACTGGCCCTGCTACTGCCTCTACACTTCATGTTATTCTTGAATTTCTGAACAAATCTCTCAGCTTCGCCATTTGTTACAGGGTGATAAGGAGCACTGCGGGTGTGTTTAACGTTGTTACCCTTACAAAAGTTCTCAAACTCACTTGAAGCAAACTGAGGACCATTGACAGACAGAGTTTGCTCAGGTATACCATGTGTCGCGAAGAGAGACACTCTAACGGTGCTATATGCTATTGTAGAGGTCATTGGAATCACCCCAGGCCACTTACTAAATGAATCTACAACAATTAGAAAGGTGTGACCTCTAAAAGGACCTGCAAAACCAATATGTAATCTTTGTCAAGGAGCACTAGGTGTCTCCCAAGGATGTGTCTTACAAGGGGGTGGATTATTCTGTTGAAATGCACAACCCTCACTGTTTCTTACATACATTGTGATGCCATTGTCTATTCAAGGCTACCACACAGAAGTACGAGCAATCGCTTTCGTGCGTACAATACCTTGTGTTCGGCATGCAACTCCGCAAGAACTTTAACCCTCATTCGGTCTAGAATTACTACCCTAGTATTCCTCTTTATACAACCTTGTACAGCCGATAATTCAGACCATACCTCAGAAAATGGCTTGTACTCTTGCACAGACAACATAGCCCTATCATTAGATGTCAGATAGTTTAAAAACTTTGATAGTAAGGGATCACTTTTGGTTTGACCTGCAGTTTGCTTTGATGTTATAGGCAACTCACATGCATCTACTAACAAAATGCTTGATGCTACCTCACTTGTGGACTGATCTACTGGCAATCTAGACAAAGCATCCACATTCCCTTCTTTGATGTTGACCTATACTCTATGTCGTAATTATTGGCGGCAAGTGTTACAGACCATCGATGTAGACGAGCTGGCAGACTGTTTCTTGGGCCTAAAATAGCTAACAATGATTTGTTGTCTGTTACTAATGTGTAACTTTTTCTGCTATACAGGTACATATGGAACTTCTTAATGCCATACACCAATGCCAATCCTTCTTTTTCTCTTTGAGAGTATCTTTGTTCTGCATCGCTTAACAATCTTGAAACAAAAGCAATTGGTCTTTCTGTGCCATCCTCCATAATGTGTGCCAAAACTGCACCTAACCCTACTTGTGATGTGTCACACACTAACTTAACAGGCATATCCTTGTTGTAATGAACCAGAAATGTATCTGTGATTTCAGCTTTTATTCTGTCAAAAGCATTCTGACATTCAACTGACCAATTCCATTTTTTTTTTAATTGGTCAGTCGCATTTTTTTGCGGTCAAATTATACAGTGGGCTAGCAATGGTGGCTAAATTCTTCACAAACCTTATCGTAAAAGGTTACCAACCCTAGGAATGACTGTAGTTCTTTAACATTCTCTGGCACCTTGGCTAATTTAACTACCCTGACTTCATCATCAGTTTTATGAATACCTTTACCATCAATCCTGAAACCTAAATATTCCAGGGAGTTTACAAAGAAATGACACTTTTGTGTGTTTTCATTCCATTTTCTCTTACCCTATCTAAGACAAGTAGTAATCTTTCTAAATGTTCCTCTTCGCTCTTGCCTGCAATAAAAATATCGTCTATAAAATAAAATACTCCTGGTAGAGCATGAAATATCTTGTCCATGGTTTGCTGCCAAATAGCTGGGCTCGATGCTATTCCAAAAGGCAGTCTTTTGGGTCTGAACAGTCCTAAATGAATGCTCAGAGTACATATCTCTTGAGAGGTGTCATCCATTATTAAATGCAGCTTTTAAATCAATCTTTGAAAATACTTTACAATCACCTACGGCAGCTAACATGTCCTGAATATTCGGCAGAGGATGTTGTGCAACCTGCATTTGTGGCTTTACAGTTACTTTATAGTCTCCACAAAGTCTAACACTACCATCTCTCTTGGCTACTGGCACTAAAGGTGTACCCCAATCAGAATTGTTAATCCTTTCCCAGGTTCTTTCATCTGCGAAATTCTTGTTCCACAGCTGGCTTCAATGCAAACGGAATCTTCGTGGGGGACATAAACTTATGTGCCGCCTCTGGTTTCATTACCAATGATGCTTTGCTATTTGCAACTGTACCTATCCCTTCTGAATAATTTTCCGGGTATAATGGGTATCATTTATGGGTGATAGAGCCCTCGTGTTTACTTTAGATACCTTCTCAAACACTTTTGGCGGATTCAATTTAATTTGAGCGAGCCACTGCAATCCTAAGAGACATCCATCTCTCTCTTTCACAACATATAAAGGTAAATTATCATGTACTTGATCTTCGTACTTTACCCTTACTTTAACCATACCCGTTATTGTCAATCCAAGAGAACCATATGCCTTCAGTCCTTTATCAGCTTGGTGCATCTTAATACCCGGAATTGTTATGGCTATATACTCTGGCAATACAGTAACATTTCCCCCGGTATCTAGCTGCTGCTTAGGTATCCAAGCCACCACGATCGCCGGTAGATCTGCGGTCTTGAAATCTCCGCTGCTTGGATTCTTTCACTTTCGTCGTCAATGTAGGGGATGTCCTCATCTGTCTCCCAAACAGCATAACATCACTTCATATCTCACATGTAATCATAAGATATGTGCTTCGTTATCTCCCATCCTAGTTTGCCAAAGTAGGGATCATGAAGTCTTGGATAAACCCATTTATTGTAGGGTTTGTAGAGAGAGTCTCTTCTATGATTTATTTTATTATTGCTGAGCCAGGAGCGTGTTCGCTCACATCGCCGCTACGACATACATTCAACAGGTCATAGAAAACGGATCACACGTCGTTACAAGGGTATCACACACATAATAAACAATGTTAATAAATTTCTGAATAGGAACTTTAGTGTTAGTAAAATATATAATTATATATATATATAATATATATAATGTTAATACATAACAATGATGATATATATAAACACGCACATATGTAAATATGATTGTGTGTGTGTGTGTGTGTGTGTGTGTGTGTGTGTGTGTGTGTGTGTGTGTGTGTGTGTGTGTATGTATGTGTGTGTATGTGTGTATGTGTGTGCGTGTGTGTGTGTAAGGCTGAGTCTTGCACACACCCATAAATGTATGGAAATACAAACCAAGTGAATATATATATATATATATATATATATA